TACAGTTGGTCTAGTTTTTGTTGTACATGTATATATTTTTTCATTATTTTATTTTCGTATGGGGAAACGAATGTTTTTTTTTAATCAACAATAATCATTTGATAGAATTTACAGGACACGTGGAATTTCTCATCACGTGTGGGTGTTGATTGTGTGGGGTCATGGACATGGGTCCTAGGGTGCCCAAGGTGAAGGGCTTTCGGGCATGTGAGGTAAGGCCCACTGGAAATGATTGGTAAAATTTCATTTGAGATTACTATTTACTACTCATGAAGCATTTTTCATTTTGGAATATAATTTTTTATTTTTTTATTTTATACAAGTGATATCCAGAGAGGCGAAATTCAAATACATAATCTCGGGATGTACGTGTAATTGCTTTTAACACTTCATTTGGAACCTTATACATGTACTCTGAAATAAGTTTCTTACACTGTCTACTTACACATAAGATAAACAAGAGGCATCATTTGATTCATTTTCTTGATAGTCAATTTGATTGGGGAAGTCATTTTCGAAGTCGACAATTGGCCGGAAACGGAATGTCAATGTGTTCAGATTAATTTACAGGTGGTTTCCCAGTGTATGCATGGCTCAATGCCCTTGTTTTCAAGTTACAATGACAATTATAAGGTGCTACAGTTAGGACCCAACTAGTTGTTAGCCTTTTGCGGTTAGGCATTTCAACGGCACTTGACAACCACAATGTTGAAGACGTTTAAATGATGTGGATGGTGCAATGAGTGCAGTCTTTTTCCACCGTTAATGAGTCTATTGACCTAAAGCAACTCCATCCATTTGCCCTTTGTCATGACAATGGGGGATTAGGGTAGTTACTATTCACATGAATAGTAACTGTCCTTGCAAAAAGCAATGTGTGTTTCAATCCGTTGCCATGACAAAGGGCAAATACTATTCATTTTTTTGTTTTTTGTTTTCACAAATTTGACCAAAAAAAAAATAAATTTGGATAATATTTTCGGATAAGATTTTTGGGTTTGTATGTGTCAATATTTATTATAAAATTCATATCTCAATCGGATAAAATTTTCGGATAAGATGATAAATAAAAATACAATTTAAAAGTGAATAAAATGTTGAGTAAAAAGTGAATAATAGTAGAAGTAGAAGAAAATTCATGAGGATTTAGTGTTGAGAGTGAAGAGTATTGGTAGGTATTTATAGAAAAAAATTCCAGAATATTTTGGTATTTTTTTAAAAAAAATTTGAATTTTTTTTTCATAATTTTATAGCAAAAAAAAAAACTCAACCGTTGGATTGGAGGAGAGCAGGCTATCGAAGCGCCCAGACGACGACACATGTCTTCTAGCTGTTGGTGGAGCGCAGGGCTGACATCAACGCAAGCTGACATCATCCCCCCCTCGGGCTCGAACTCGAGCAAAAGCTGCCTTCAGGCTAGCTCGTCTTCATGGGTCCCACCTCCAGCCCAGGCAAAAGTGGCCCGTTGGAATTGGCTTTTTGGCTTGGACTCCCCCCAGCCCCAAGCTTGGACTCCTCGGTGGAGTTGTTCTAAGGTGCACAAGGTATCTTTAAGGGTTTAAGATGGACACTCTTCAAGACAAAAACTTTTGTATCCATTGATTTGTCATAGGGTAAAATACGAATCGATTATACGTATATCGACTAGATACGCAACTTGAAGAGTACTACAAAATCTTATCAATTTAGGTCATTATTAGAATACATTATTTTGTATTAAAATGAAATAGCTAGGGTCCATGTATACTTGTTGATTTCAGATAGTGAGAAAGAGAGATATGGTGGGTGAGTTTGAAAGCATGGCTTGATTGAGTGCATCTTTTTGGACATGGTGTGGTGTGGTGAAGGGTTTTGTCAAAAAGCTTGGTTGTTGTCATGTGCTGCGGGACGGTGACATAAAAATACTTGGAACCTTCTCCCCACTTTTATGCTGCTAACCCTGATTTTTGTTGCTCTTGTGTTGTGTCCAATTAAAAAATAAATAAATTATGTTTGGTAAGGAGTCAATTCTTTTTCCATACGAAATGGCATCTTGGATTTGCTTGGATAGTTTTTCTTTTCTCTCATTTTGTTGTTCAGGCATTGCTGAGAACTCGATTCCTTTTCCACTAGAAATCTAAGTTATTTTCAATTGACGGTGAAAGATAGAAATTTCCCCCTTTCTAAATGCGCATGTCTAAGAATTTGACAATTGAGAAAAGGATCAATGCTTCCTGAGCAAGAAAACTTTAGCTTATTATTTAAGCTTGAGAAAAAAATTTCCTTATTAGGTTTCAAATGTGTACTTGTGATAGTTAATTGTCTTGGAAATAAATGGAAATGCACTAACAAAAAGTTAGGGTCAAATTGACTTGGGGGTTGATTTTTAATCTTCTTTCAATCGAAGTATTCTTGTGAAAAGTTTAATTTTCTTCTTTCAACTATACAAGTGGACGATTCTCAATCGTTGAGAAACGTACATGTACTAAAACATATCAATTAAGGGCAAACAAGCATCCTTGTTTGCCTTCTGATAAAATCAAAACTTATAATCATTGTGAACACTTTTCAATTAGGGCAACAATGCAACAATGCACTTGTCTCTATCAAGGTATGTCTGGTATCTTCTCAACCAAACAGAGCATCACACTTATTAAAGAAAATTGGAAAAGTTCAAATGAACTTTCAAAATCATGCTTTATTGTAAGCCATAATACAAGGCATGATATGAATCTTAACTTAAGATATTGACTTGGAAGCAAAGAGTTATAATTTTTTGGACCCACTTAAAAACAACTCTTAACTTACCCATCAATCACCATGATATTTGACAAATCATCATCTCCTTTGAGATCTTAACTAGTGGCGGTTGAGTTCAGGAACTCTTGCAACGTCAAACACAAGGGAAATGATATAAAATTGTTGTGGGGGTCTTTTTATTCTAGTAGCCTGACGAATGGGCTTGGGCTGCCGAAAAAGAGAAACATGTGAAGCTACCCCTGTGTTTGAGTTCAAGGATCAGGCCCCAAGAGTGTTCCGAAAGGTAGCTGAGCTTTAGGAAACACCTTGGTCTTCTTCACCAATGAAACCAACAGTCGCTTACAGATAAATTCTTGGCTTGTCATGAGAAGCTTGTGGCATGAGAGCTGAGCATTCGTGAGTTTAGCATGAGAGAGAAAAGGCTTGGGTTTCCTATGAGGAACAAAGGCTTGAAGTAATGATTTCGTGAGGATTTGCTGAGGAGAAAGAGAGAGACATAGATTATGGTGGATGAACAGGTGCTTTGGGTAATTTTCCAGTAGCTTGACGAAAGCTTCTTCAGACTCTGTATTGGCTTGACATAGGAGAAAAAGAGAAGCAATGGAAGAACAAAGCTTGAAATCAAAGGGTTCTAGAGATGAGAGGTGATGCTTGCTCTTTCTGGATATGGTTGCTTGCCTTTAATCGGAAAGAGAGGAAGAAGATAAAAGCATGGGTGGCTTTAGCAGATTCTTGGGTTGCATGACAAAAGAGAAAATGGGAAGAGATGGAGAAGTGAGGCTCGAAATTGCTGGGGTTTCAGTGATGAGAAATGGTGCTTGCTCTCTGGATGTGTGTTTATGGAAAAAGAGGAAGAAGATGGAAGAACAAAGCATGAAATTGAAGGGTTCTAGATATGAGAGATGATGCTCGCTCTCTCTGGATATGAGTTTTGAGAGAGAGGGGAAGAAGATGGAAGAACAAAGCATGAAATTGAAGGATTCCAGAGGGGATGCTTGCCTTCGATCTGTTTGTTATGTGTTGTTTTGCTGGGAAGAAAGTGGCTCCTTTTATAGGTGTTGAAAACCTTAATTTTGTCAAGTCATCCTCTCCCATTTTCCTCACTTTCTTCCATTCCACCTTGTTTGGTGAAATTTCCTTAGCCTGAACCCATAGTCACACAGCTTTTTGGGGTTCCAAGGTCCTCAGGCAGTTGGACTTCTCCATGTGGGTGAGGAGCCACCCACTTTTGTTTCTTGTTTTCTTACCAAAGCTTGAAGAGGAAATAATGGGTAAGGGTGCTAGTCAAAAAGGGTGATCAACACATGAGTTTGCTTGGTTTTGATGGTTTTGACAGATATGCTGAATATTTTCCACGATGCTGGGCTGAGCTATTGGTATTTTGTTTTCAACGGTTTGTGAGTTCCCTTTGATTTCGTCAGACTGCTGGAAGCTTTGGCTGATGTGGGTTTTTTTTTATGGGCTATGGCTATTAGATATTTTTCTAAGATGTTTGGGCCTTTTCTTAAGGTTTTCTATCATACTTACCCATATTTTTGGACTTAAGGAGTGGGCTTGAGTTTTGGTGCTCCCAAGTAGCCCAAAACTTCCACTCCTTGGATCATCAATGGGTCTCATGAATGCTCGTAACAATCCATACAACAACCCGCTCAGCAAGCCCTAGGCATTCGCGTAGCTTGGGCTCACTTAAGCTTGTAGCGTGACATGTTGCTTAAATAAGGATTTTCCGCTTGGTGTTGTACTGGGCTGAAAAATATATTTGGACATAACCTTGAATTTTTTGGGCCTCAACAATTGTTTACCCTTTTTAATTTTTTTATCAAAGAAAATGAGTGAGAATATGTTTCAAGAGAAAGAAATCCATTAAGGGCTCTCATCCAAGGGCCGATCAAGGAGAGAAGGGCCCAGTCCAATATTTGGAGCTTCTTACTCAGGGCCATTGTAATTGGGATCTAAACTCCTTTTATCTTTGCTCATTTCCTTTTGAATATGTAAGGCACACATAACCAAAGTCTATATGTTAATTACAAGTACAATCAGCAGTAAAGAAGAATATGCATCACATTCAGAATGTAAGTTTACTCCGGACCAACATTTTTCCGCCCGTATCGAATTTCTAATTTTCTTGACTGGTAGTCTGTACAGTTTGAACAAGAGACCAGCTCTCTGTAAGTCTGAGATTCAGGGAACCATGCTTGCAGATCATACTTAAAGCACCAGAAACGATAGCCACGACACGATAGGGGAGGTTTAATTGAAAATCACGACAACGATTTATAAAAATCCTCAGAGTTTTTGATAATTTCCTCATGCATTTCCCAAGACTCGTTGTCATTTGGGCTTGTAATACAAAACTGTTCAACTTTCTCAAACTCATGAACTCTAAAAATTCCCGAGGTGTCCCGACCGTGTGAACCAGCTTCTTTACGGAAACAAGACGGAACATCCAGCATATCTGAGAAAAGAATCCTAAAAATTAATGAGCGGAACATACAAATAACTCTTTTATAGCTAAAACTTCCAGCAAGATGTTACAACCTTAATGGTAGCTGGGAGGGATGGATCCAATCATTCATATAATATGCACAAAGTGCTTGTTCAGCTGTAGCAATCAGATATTTGTCATCTTCTACCTGTAGCAATCAGATTTTGGATTAGGGTTTCCAATGACTTCCAATTTGGAATTCAACTGTTTTGAAGCTTCTCGAACTTCAACTTCTTTCTCCGCCACCAACCTCTTATTTTCCTCAGTGTCCTTAATAACCTCAGTTGCATCCTCACCCGCCTTTTATCCCAGAAAATTTTAATATCCAGTGACATGAATAACAAACCAGGATTCCAAAAAAGAAACATAGAATCCCAAAGAAAAACAAATTCAATCGAACTGCTTTTGATGGAACTAATAATAGAATCTGTTTTTTTTTGGAATTATAGAAGCATACATTTTTAGCTAAACAACATATTTTCAGAAAACTATTCTGTAACCCAAATTTTGAAAACTAAGAAAAAGTAAAAAAAAAAAAAAAAAGAAAAAAAAAAGAAAAAAAAGAGAGAGATGAAATACTGACAATCTTGAGCTGAGAAACTCGCTTCTTGATCTTGTTGAAATCTTTCCGAAGATTATCAAGCTCCAATTGAGAACTAACATTTACATATTTTCACCAAAACAATCAAAACTTCAATACTAAAAAAGCTCAGGAGAGAGAGAGAGAGAGAGAGAGAGAGAGAGATTACACTAACGCCATTCTTTGTCGAGCTGAATGACCTCGTTGACGATCTCTACACCTTTGAAACGGCGACGTTGAGAATCGCCGATGATTTCGGGATTGTTGCCCTTGTCTTCTCTAAACAGATTGATGTCCAGCATTTCGGGAACAACGCAAGCAAGAAAGAGAGTAGAGAAAATATAGCGCCTGTTTTTGTTTTGAAATGATTTATTAGCACCTCTATTTATAGAGTTAGAATTACGTAGATAGGCCTCGTTTGTTGCTCAAAAGATCTCTGGTTTTATAAGACTAGTCCAGTTTTTGGTGTAATGGCAGACTGAGAAGCTTGATAAGAAAATAGTATTATCCTGCGTTTGGTTTATGCTTGGACTGATATTAGGAGTTTTTTTTTTTTTTGAAGTGATATAATATTTTAATTGTCAATTATATTTTTATAATTCTAAGGACAAAAAATTAGTAACCCTGCTGCCCAAGCAATCGAGTGAGTATTAAAAAAAAAATATACAAGTTGCAGCTCTAGACATTCATAACTAAGCCCAATGGAGCCGATAGCCACTACATCATGATAGCCCAGTTACAAAACATCAGCTTAAACAATATCGGCTCAGGCCCAACCCTTTCTTTTTGTTTGTTTCTGTGATTCACCATTGAAAATGTGGAATTTATTTTATTTCTTTTATCAACCAAAAACATGTTACGCTTTGATTTGAAACGCAATCGATTGTGGCTGAGAATCTGCATATTCCCCCATGCCCCCCTTATAGATATCAGAAAAGAATGAAAGCATAAATTTTGGCACATCCTATCCAACCTTTAACAACTGAGACACCTCCTCAATCTCTCTCTCCGTTATCTAAATTCATATGCAAAAAGAACACGAACTGTGACTCATGCATTTTACTCTTCCCTCCAAAACAGATGCTCAGTAATTGTTTTCATCTGCTTCACCCACAACCTCTAACCCAACTCCATATCTTAGCTTTACCTCCAAAATTCCAATGCAAGACTCAAGCTTTTTCCCATAAATCCCCGCCAAACACATATTTTCCTCACTTTCTCACCAAAATCCCTTCTGGGTGCCCAAGATTTTTTCTGGGTTCTCTGTGTTCTTCAAGTCCATCATCATGTTCTGCTTCACCGGACGAGGAAGATTTGGAGGTGGAATTGGGCCGCCTTTTGGCGCTTTTGCCAGAAGAAATGCGGCAGAAAGTTGGCGAGCACCCGGAGCTTCACCAATTGATTGAAGTGGTTATGGACTTGGGTCGAAAGCCCTTGGCTCGGTTTCCCTCTGGGGACTTTGTGTTGTCGGAGCTTCCTATTACGGTTCAGGATCTTGAGCATGCTACTTCGCAGGTGAACTATTTTTGCCCACTGACTGTTTGAGAAATTGACTTGGATTGTGATACAAGTTTAGTGTGTGGTGGTAGTTTTAGGATGATGGTTTTGTGTGGATATTAATCATGGCTGTTGAATGTCATGAATTTTTGTTGCTGGGTCAGCTATGCAGAACATAACTGATTTGAGTTTTGGGTTTTGGGTTTAGGTTATGGAAAATGCTTTTCGTCTTGTTGCACGTAGGTTTTATGTATAGACTAAAACAGTAGGAGGTTATAGATGTACTTTAGCTTTGATTGCATTGTGAAAGGACTATCATTGAGCGCTGCGTAATTAACTAGTTGTTTCTTCATTGGACTTTTGTGTAAATGTTTTATTACCCAGTGTTAGTAATGGCCTAGTGGGATTTTGAGTTAGGAGGGAGAAATACGAGGTTGATATGCAGTATGAGTTATCTATTCATTATGCCCCATTGTCATGTTGGGACACATTTTTCTTCTTAACAGTTAAAATATAGTATTTCTATTTTATGATTATTGCCTATAAGATAATCTCCCCTGTAAATTTTGAAGATTGCTCCTTTGGTCACGTACAAAGAAGCAGGAGGGTGAGAGAGAACCATAAGCCATCAGACTTATGCCTTCTTGTTAATTTTTGCTGACTTGGAGTTCCTTGTAAAAGGAAGAATGACAAACCCAAAGATCATTTATATGAAGTTTGCATGTACAAATTCGTTAGTTTTTCATTGGGGGGTTAATAAGACCCATGCAGTGCAGGATGGGCGATATAACAATTGTCATTATGGTGCAATGTTGTACGTTTGTCCTGAACTTGTATGGCTGTGAAAGAGAGAGGCTTGATATCACAGGATACAAAAAATGGTTTTAACCATTCACGTAGACTAGATTTAGGGTATAAAAGGACTTTTCGGGCTGAAATTTTGCATGAAATGATAAATGAGGTAGAGGTCAAAAGTCGAAATATCCAATTAGGAATTGAGTTAGTCTAGAGTCTAGTCATGTCCTTAAGCGAATAGCAAAGTGTGTTGTGAAGCAATAAAATTTGTTCTATATGGGAGATTTTGAAAACTAGTTATCTTTTGCACCCATTAAAGACTTAGCCTTTTTTATATTTTATGTTTTATATATTAAAGTTTAGAAATATATCCACTTGAGTCCCCTTCGAGTGGTCAAAATTTTAAGAATCTAAAAGAAGGGCTAAAAGTCTTTAAAGGTCTGAAAGTCGGCTAGTTTTCAAAATTTCCCTACCCCATCCTCACCCTCCCTTACTAGCTTAGCCAAAGCTCAAGGGTACCACCACCCATTTTGTTCTAGAGTTTATTTATTTATTTATAAAATTGATTATATAACAGAGTACCATATTTGGCACTAACTATCTGGATGCTGTAGGTTGGCGATTTTGCCATCGACAATCGGGCAGGAATTAGCAGGACATTACACCGCATTAGTGCCATTAGGAATAGAAAAGGTGCCATCATTGGTCTAACTTGCCGTGTTGGTAGGGCAATATGTGGCAGTGCTAGTTTGCTGCGAGATTTGGTTCAAGATGGTGGTTCTTTGTTACTCATTGGGCCTCCAGGTGTAGGAAAAACAACAATCATCAGGTTAGTCTTGCCTTTTCTCTCTGTTTGACTTGAACGCACCCTGTTGCAGTATCTAAGTAAAAATAGAATGCAGGAAATATAGAAGTTGCAATGCATTTTACACAAGATCTGGCAGATAGTATACTTCCTAAGGAATTAGAATTTGTAAAGTTATGCACTCTGTTGTACTGATATGTTTTCCAGTCAGGAATATCTTGAATTATCTTTACATTTATCACAAGTATCAATTAAACCCTAATCCAAAATTTTTGCAGTTCTTCTCTCTGGTTATATCATATGATTTCATAGGGAAAGTAATACAGGCCTTGTGGTCAAGTCGTCTTCACTGATAATATAGTTTGCCAGGAGGGATTCATCCTTCGGTGGTACAAAATTATATGCTCTGACAACATCCCTGAAATATACCCAACTAAATATTTGGTTTTGGGGTATATTGCTTATATACTTTTGGCAAAATTGTAGTTATTTTGCAATCTTAGAACATGCAGGTTTTGGATGCTTTTTCATGAGTCTATCACTCTGATCGCCATGATATTCTAACTTGCAGGGAAATAGCTCGAATGCTTGCAAATGATTATAAGAAACGTGTCATGATTGTTGACACCTCAAATGAGATTGGTGGGGATGGCGATATACCCCATTCAGGAATAGGCAATGCTCGGCGAATGCAAGTCCCCGTCTCTGATTTACAACATAAGGCATGATTGAAAAGTGTATTATATCAGTTATTTTGTTAAATCCTGTTATTTGTATTGACAAGATAAGGGTGAATTTTCATTAATTAGAGTTTTCTCTGATGGATCTCAAATGTGTAGGCCAATGAAAATTTTAAACTATATTCGTGAAGAATGCATATAGAGTAAGGACTTACCAACTAGCTATTGGTCCAGTGGTATTTCTCTTCACTTTGTTGGAAGATGTCCATAGTTCAAATCCTCCCTCCCCAGATAAAAAGAAAAGTTTTTGTTTCCCCCATAAGCTCATATAGAGTAAGGACTAATTTTTTCTGCGGTATGCTGTGCTATTTAATCTACAGGATCTTTTCTCATCACATTTTTGTGGCAATGCTACCTTAATTCCCAGAAAATACCTTTCACAATGTCATTCTCCTTTCTTATTCCGCTATTTCCTTCTCTTTTTGTCTCTGCATATCTCTGTGTGTGTGTGCATCTGTGCCTGGAGATGGGCTTAATCCAATATCTACAAATACCTAAATCTCTTTGGACAGATAGAACTTAGAACAAAATGCATCAACTTGGAAATATTTAAAATGACAGAGTACAGATGGTAACTGTCATTTTGTACACATTTAAATATTTAGCAGCATGTTACAATGCGAGTGTTTCCATCATTAAATGATTCTTATGCTCATATCTCTTGTTTTATTCAGGTCTTGATAGAGGCTGTTGAAAATCATATGCCACAAGTGATTGTAATTGATGAAATTGGCACTAAACTTGAAGCAATGGCTGCAAGCACAATTGCGCAACGTGGAATTCAGCTTGTTGCCACCGCTCATGGTGTAACTATCGAGAATTTGATAATGAATCCTTCATTAGAGATGCTTGTTGGAGGAATACAGGTCAGTTGGCCATAGTAAAAAATGATATTGCAATTTACCGCATATAGTATATCCAATAACATTGGCATGGCATCATCGCATATTTATACCGACTGTATATTCTTGCATTAAACTTAGTATGTTTAGTTTCATTGTTAAATAATAATTAGTTCTTTCTTTCTTTTTAGTATGTTTATGTTCTCCCTTCTCTTTGGTGTTTCATTTTTTCTTGCTGAGCTTGACAATCAAGTGTTGGTCTTTGGGTTGTGCTAAAGTAGTGATGGCAGTGCATCGATCTCTTTCTGCTAATTCATATAATTTTCTCTTTGACTTCTATTTATTTTAATTATAATGGTTGTATGAGTTCAAGTTATTTCTGTTCAGTTACATCATTGCAATCATTTTTTTAGAGCGTGACACTAGGGGATGAAGAGGCCAGCCGGAGGGGGGTTCAGAAGACAGTGCAAGAAAGGAAAGGACCTGCAACCTTTAGTTGTGGGGTGGAGATAATTTCAAAGGATGAGTTGAGAGTTCATCGTAGCTTAGAAACAACAGTGGATACTATCCTCTCAGGTATGCTTCTTTGGAAGCGTAATTTCTTTTCACTTTCATTTTCCTTTCCCATAAATTATGAATTAAATCTGAAAATCATGTTATGCTGGTGAAGGTCGTTTCCCAAATTTTGAAGTTCGTAAAATTCACTCTCGGGGATCAGAACTAACTACTGAAAGGGAAAATTTTCTTCACAGTTCCTTGGATGAAGAGGACGAATATGTTATTGAAGATGCTCCAGATATGGCTGACAGAGGATTTGGCCATATTGATTTCACTCCTGTGGTCTCTCCCAATATGCAAGAGGATTCTATGGATGAAAGGATACAACTTCGCTTGTTTGTTTATGGGGTAAGACATCACTACCTTGTAAATTAGAGAGAGAAAGAGAGGACAATGTGAAAAATGCTACCTCTGTAACAGTTTACAACCATTTAGAACTAGAAACTGTTAAAGGTCTTCATTCTTCCTGCTTCCCATCACCCTTGTTACAGATGGGGGCAACTATTGAACGAAGAATCTTTTGTGACAAGCTTGCTATCATACCTGTGCTTCCTAGTAACTAATGGTAATATCTAATATAAGAAAATCACAGAAGATTATAAATCCTATAGGATATTGACACAACATTTTATCTTCCAATCACATGTGCCTTGTTCTTCAATGTGGCTCACCTATGTTTCTTTAGTTAGAGGAAATGACAAGTTGAATAGCAGAGTAGCATATTCTTGTCTTCCACGGCCCCCCCTGAATACACAACTGCAGCTTTTCTTTTGAACTCCTGGCTATGGCTAAGCGGTCGGTGAAACAGGGTTTAGCCTCTTACTGAATGATGTTTCATAAAAGCTATATTTGCTTTACCTCATAGCTTTTCGGTCAATAAAAAAAGGCATGTAAATTCTGGGGTTAATACTCATCTTATCCTGGTTAACTGAAATTACAGCATTGTTTAGTCCAAAAAGAAGAATAAAAATGAAATAAAATATATTCAAAATATAGAAGCTGGAGTGTGATTACGTAAGTTATTTTCAAGCCTAATACTTACAAAATGAGCAGTTATTTTAGATCTTAGAAGCAAGCGTGATACAAGGGATTAAACAGTTGAAGATGGATGAAGCTGCTGTCCAGTTCATAGATGATATCAGCAAGGCAGATGCACTACTTGCCTTGCAATCCAAGCTCAAGAAGAATCCCCGAATTCAAGCAGTTGCTAAATCTTATGGAATACCCATTTATGTGACTAAGGTAATAAAAAACGCACTAGCTTTGCTAGTTTTATTAGTAACTTTTTTTTTGGTTATGGTTTCACCATTGGTTTCTCTTTTTCTTCCAGTCAAGCTCGTTGGTGGAAATAAGAAAGGCAGTTCGGGCATTAATGAGTGATCATAAAGATGGTTTGAAGGATTATGGGTCGATAGACAATATGAAGTCATCTGAGAAGATTGATGCTTTAGAGGTGATTATGAACCTTCTCCCCCAACTTACATTTTCTTTGAAAATTTGTGATTGGATTGCTTCAAATGGGCAAGAATTGACTATGCTATCTTCAGCACAAGCCAATCCAGACAGTTAAAAGCTGAAGCCGAAATCTGATAATAACTTGGCAGAAATCTGTGCTTTAGTTTACAAATAATTGATTGAGGGATTTCTCTAGGACATTGAGTCTAATCAAAGTTTAGTTCAATAACTTTGCATGCAATACAGCTCCATAAAATATTTATTCATCATACAGGAGGCAAGAATAGCCGTTGAGCAGGTTGTAATTCCAAAAGGGGAACCTGTGGAACTTCTTCCAAGGGCATCTCACATTATATCTGCTCAGATTGACCTTATTCGAAAATACCAACTAGAAGCAGAAAGAATTGGTAAGGAGCCGGATGTGCGCCTCCGTATCCTTCCATTTCATACTACAACGACAGAAGAGAATCATACTAGCAAAATAATTGATGCTGATAGTGGATTTGATGACTTTCTCGGTACCAATGATAGGAATGGTTCACTCTCCAATGTAGACAGATTACCATTACTTCCTGAATAGTTATTAGGATGTTGCCATAGAACATTGTTTCATTTTAATGCTAAAATTCATGACGTTACCTGCGAGCTTAAGGGTGTCTCTGCGTGCACTGTGCCAGAGTCTGATCTTGTACCAGTGGCCAAATATCTTCTCTCATAGTCAAATCTGTAATATTACATTTTAACTACCATGTTGATGATACATAGAGAAAGATGAAGATGACAATTGATCATCTATGTAATGATATGATAATTTTAAGTAAAATGCTGCATGATCTTGATTTCTGTTTTATAGATTTCTTCTGTTAAATGTGATAAGTTTCAGGTACTAATTTGCAGAGAAATATGTCATTCTTTTGTATTCTTTTCGTGAGTTTCTATTTTACAGGTGATCACGACTTCAAGAGAAACACTTGCATGAAACGGGGATAATGGAGGTGATAACATTTCTAAATTTCTAGGCAGTGCTGGAAAAGCAGCCGTCCACTAGCTTAATCCCATTCAGCTCCACAACCTTGTTCTTTTCAACAATACATCCCCGCATAAAATATATTCAAGCCAAGATGATGAAAACAGTTGTTTTCTTATTATTTGACCTCCGAGCGACTTCTTGTTTGAAAGGCTGTGCCAATAAATATAAAAATAAAGTAAACTGACTTTTATAGCGAAAAAGAAGAAGTGATAATTATAAATTTACAAAAAAGAGTAGTGCCTTTTAGACCTAGTATGCATTAAAAGATTACATAAAAGCTTGGGATGCTATTGATGGTTGATAAGCACATGGATTCATATAAATGAAGAGCTTCAGCTAGTGCTAAGTCTATAAGAAAGTCAATATTGGCTAGACTTAGAAACAAATAATAAACAATAAAATAGACGGATCATCACGCAATTACCAACATTTGTTATGCGGAGCCACCTCCTAATGGCATCAACTTATCGTCATTCATCATTAATGAACTTGTTAATTCATCATTAATGAACTTATCGTCATTCGTCATTCATTACGTCTCTATGTCTAGAAGAATCGGTTGGTGAGAGAGCTCTTGGACATGGTATTTTGGGTTCCACGTTGTCACGAACGTTGATGACTTGAATGTGGTCAACCATAACATGTATGTTAAATGTATATTTCGAACAAGCAAGAGAAGGTACAATTTGAAGAATTGAAAGGGGTTCTAAAGATGATCGGTCAGTAATGACCTAAAAGAAAGAGATGATCGGCCAATGTTTCACCCGTATCCGTCCCACAACCAATTTGTCTCATAGAAGGAGGTTGGTTATGGTTAGTTCGACGATGTACGGAACCCTTATGTGTAGGGATGCTCGCCTAATCCTCTAAACTTTAGTATCTTATTTTAATTGATTACCTACTCTTTAATAATACATTGACGGTATTCTCTTCAAATTCCGATCATTAAATTATACTATATGACGAAACAGGATGATAAAAACTCAATAACTCACGTCCCAAAGTTGAGAAGACACAAGAGCCAATAAACTGATATCCAATTGCATAAGGTTGCTAGTATACATTGATTGATGCAGGCAAAAATCATGCGTAAGTTGCTTGTCGTTTCATTTGATGAATTCATTGGGATCCTTTTCCTAATCCTTAAAAACCAACTTTTCATTCAAAATGTCAAAGTCCCGCTCATGATTAGTGAAGCATTATCCATAATAAGTTTCTGGATTAGCATAAATATTAATTGTCAAATGCTTAAATAATCAAATTGAGGCCTTGCTGTGGTCAACTGCCACTATAATATAATGCGCCAGGAGCCAGCCAGCCACATCATGACATGCTGCTCGGCTGTGGATGTCTACTGTTATGTTAATTATGGGTTTACTAAACCTGAAAATTAATGGGCCGGCAATACATGCATCATTACTTTATGCTGTGATGTGATTGTGTTTATGGGTTTACTCTTTTTATTTATTTATTATAGCTTTCGATTTTGTTTCTTTGACATGCAAACTTTTCTTTTCTTTTCTTTTTGACTCCTTTATTTTATGTCCCCTCTTTCTCTCTTTTTCATTTCCTCTCCACCTCCCCCACTTCCCACATTCCTTGCTTCCCCCTCACGCATTATCTACCTCTATGTTTTATTGACTCGTTTATGGCGTAATTCTATAATGGATTTATGTGAATCTGCTCTATTTACTAAAGAAGAAAGTCAATTGGTGCTGATATGTTATCTTCTAGTGTTTGCGGACATTGGGTGGCTTTGTCGCAATGGGTCGCAATCCAGTTGGTTTAGTTTCTTTATTGGGAGTTTCACTAAAACACCCAAAATGGGAGTTGAAATTATAAAAAAACCCAAGCACTATTTAAACATATAAACACACCCAAAACCCATCATTACACGCACTCAAAACCCATTTATAAACACACCCAAAAAGTTGACTTTGGGGTTGATTTTGGGTGTGTTTCTATGTTTAAATAGTGCTTGAGTTTTTTTATAAATACATGTTTAGGATTGGGTTTATTTATAAATTTGTATTCTTTATTTTTGGAATAAGTCACAAAAATTTTATTTGGATTTTATGTGTAGTTTTCACATCTCCTTTGTGAGAGTTTTTCGCATCTCTTTGAGAGAGTTTTTATCTGTATTGTTTCGGCTTAGTTTTTCTAAGCTTTATCTTTTTTGATTAGTCTGAGTTTACAATCTTAGTTGGGATGCCTATAACAGAGTTTTTTCGGCTGTGTGTGATCGTTAGTGGAGGGGCACCATATTGCCTTAATATTGATGTTAGATTTCTCTGTATTGCAATGGTCATTTTTGGCTAGTTTATATTGGACTTTTGTGGCTAGTGGTTTTTTTATAGTTGAATTCCAAGATTTCCAAAGAAAAAAAAGTCCCAAGGGCTAAGTAATTTTGGTGTGATTGTCACATCATTATGTGATTCTATCATTCCACGTATATTATAATATGTGTATTTATTTATTAATTTCTCATAGGGTACCCAGTTGCATAAAATAAAGACAATATATAATAGAATACTATACAAATGTTAAAGACGGTTCAGATTATTGAAATACAATGTATGAACCCTACAAAGATGCCCCTTAAATAAGTTTATTTGAGAGATTCCTCAATTAAATCATTCTAACTATATACTCATATACAATTGGCTACTTGTTGAGAAATTTCTAAAATAGTGTAATTTGAGGACGCATGATGAAACTTACTTGCACTGTATTTTAGTGATTCAACTGTTTTCCATAAAAATATTAAAATGATCACCATCAAATGGTTAAATGGCTTACGCTTTGCTTGATCAAATAAATAATCAATTCTTTTTTTTTTAATCAATATTTTTGTATCATTAATCCACAAAAATTTATGCTTAGTGTAAAACAAAGATGAGCAAAGACGACAATGATATTGGTGGATGAGGAAATAAGCCTGCGAATTCCCCTTTTTGGCATTATTAGTCGTTATGGTGGGGTTAAGTCGTATATGTTATTTGGATTTAGCACTTTTTGGGCAAGAATTAAGGCATCATAATTCCATAGGGTTGTCCTGTCAGCAATATTTTAAACTAAAGGAAAACGACAATTAAATGAAGGTGGTGGTGATTATCTAGCTGCCCGGCAACACTAGCTACTGTAACCATAAACTACGTATACAGGTACATCAACTGGAATTGAATAAGATAAAATAGATGAACAACAAATAGAAACTCCGAGCGATAAAAATATTCAAGGCCAATCTAACCCTCGTATACAATCACTTTAATGTACGGAAAAAGGGATCGAACTAATGGCGGACTCAGGAATATTCCTAAGAGTGGGTAATTTTTTTTTTTTTGTCGGGATCAATTATAAGCCCTATTTTTAAACAAATATATATATCAAAAGCAATATTTCCTTCAGATTAATGAAAGTGGTATACTTTTTGACTAATTCAGTATATTTCTGAGATTAAAAACTATTTTCAGAATTCATTAAAAGAAAAATACTATTTTCATAGAGATATCTGAGCAAAGAAAACCTAGAAAAACCAAAATTCAAAGGCTCAGACGAAGAACAATTTGAAGCTCGAGGACTTTGGGTCAGCATGGTAATTTAGTTAGGGAGAGTCCATATTTCAATATTTCCAAAAGAAGCAACATTAATAAATTCAAAAAAATAAAATCAGAGAAATATATAAACATTATTAGAGCCAAATCAAAAGCTGAATAAACCAAAGAAGAGAGAGAGAGAGAGAGAAATTTTTTTTTTAGTAATTGAAGTATTACAATATTTGGCTGTAGATATGGGCTGCTTTCTAGAAAAAGTGGTTAATTTTTCTGGATTGAGCTTACACAAATAGCCTAATTTTTCTCTCTCCAAAGTTAACACTGGGTTAGAGCCCACTGTAGTCCAAGCATGGATCCGTCCTTGGATCGAACTCATATGCGAAAAAAGGGACTCACTAATATTTAAACGCCCCCTTTTTCTTCTCAGCGCCGCACAGCTCCATCGGGGGAAGAAGAGGTTTATCCCTCTTCTCCCTCCCCTCCCTCCCTCCTTTTTTTTTCTCCTTCGTTTATGCTAGTTCTCAACCTCCCCTGCCTTGGATTCTTTTGTGGGGCTGGTTTTATTTTGTGTTTGACCCTGTTTGGCTGTGTCGGTGGCTGTCTTTGAGAGTTGGTGGCTATCTCTGAGATTTGATTGGGCTGAGATTATATGTCTCAAGCCGATTTTGTGTCCTCCTTTCTTCGCCAAACACCCCATTCAACCAGATTTACTTCTTCCACAACATCCCATCCTATTCTTGCCTTCTCCTTTTTCCAGATATGGTTTCTCCATTGGGATATAGAAACTACTCTAAGCGCTTTGTCACGTCTTTATCAGATTGTATATAGAGCTCTTGCTACGGTTCTAGCTCTGGTGCTTGCACCATTACTCTCCACTCCCTTGATTTCAATCCTTTGGTATATACCATGCTGGTGTTGTGATTGGTTGCTGTTTTCTTCTTGGTGCACAAGAGGACTCGGGTGTGAAGCAGAAAGTAACTTTTGGAGGAATGTTCTTGTGCTGATGTGTTTATGTTTTTTGGGGAAATTTTGTTCTTGGCGTAAGATCGGTGGGTCTCTATGTGCAGCTATGCTGACTTGTGTGGAGGATGTGAATCCCCTCATTTGTGGCTATATTGGTGCTGTTGGTGTGGTCTCCGGTGCCTTTGTGGGGACGGTGGCTAGGTTTTGTATTTTGTTTTGATTTTGTGTGGGGAAGATTTGTTATACTAGACTGTACTGGTTCTTAGTTTAATATTCCCTGTGCTTATGGTACTTTGTTTCTGC